TGTTCGGTCGATGGCTCAATCTATCGCTCCATACTGCTGGGAGGCATCCCAAGAGGCCATCACATACATCAAAGAAGCCTCTGACCACGACGAGGTGGACAGCGCCAGTGGCACGAGCTCCGAAGGGTTCAGCGCCATATTCAATTCTCTCCTCCTCCTCCTCCGCCTTCCTGCTCCTCTTGCTGGTTTCCCCTCCCGCCACTGGCCAGGGAGCCTTTTTCAGGTTCCCTCTCCAGCATATCAGACGGGCAAGGAGGAGAAGGAGGATGAAGAGGAGGAGATTGACGATTGGAATTTGGAGCGAAAGCGAAAAGGTATGATATTGGGGGGGGGGGGACCGCATCTATATACATATATACATATATAGGTATGTGTGCATATACATGCATATGTCTATGTTTATGTTTATGTTTATGTGCATGCCAGTATACATGTATTTGTGTACGTCTATGTAAACGTATGTGTTCATGTGTATGTAAATGTGTATGTACATGTACATGTATATGTACATCTTTTGTAGTTGTATATGTATTTGCTTTTGGTTTGTGTTGTTTGTACTGGTATTTGTACTTGTACATGTATATCTATATGTAGATGTATGTGTATATGGGTTGGTCTTCGCATTTGTCTATGTGGCTGTATTTGTATGAGCGCGTTCACACATATATATACACATACATATACATATATATATGTATGTATGTATGTATGTATGTATGTATGTATGTATGTATGTATGTATGTATGTATGTATGTATGTATGTATGTATGTATGTATGTGTGTGTGTGTGTGTGTGTGTGTGAAGGCCGTCTTGGGCAGGCCCGAGACCTCGGGTGGCCGCGGGCAGGCTCGTCTGTAGTGTTCTGGGGCGGTTTGGAGGCTCTCTGGGGCCCGGGGCCACGAAGAAGTGTTTGGGGGCTCTTGGGGGGGCCAGGGGGGCCGGGGTCACTAAGGTTTCTTTCGAATTTATTCGAATGGAGATATCTATATATGTGTATATATACGCATGCATAGAAGACGCCTACGGCGAACCACCGCCGCCCCCTGCCTTTTGGAAACGCCTATGTGGACAAGCGTTGAGCCAGCGTCTTGCCAAGCTGTCGGACTACGTGTTCCCCCAGCCGTCGTGGGAACCCTTTGAGGAACATTTTGTTGTGTGAGGGGGAGGGAGGACGAATGGGAGGGAGATGCAAAGGAGAAGGAGGAGGAGTCTGAAGCCCCTCGGGGCCTCCTTTGGGGCCTCTTGGGGGCTTCTGAGGGCCCTTTGGGTCTCTTGGGGGCCTTCTGGGGGCCCGTAGTGGGCGTCGTGGGCCTGCTCGGGCCTCTCGGAGGCCTCTCGGAGGACGCCCTTTTGGGCACTGTAGAGCCGTCTTGGAGGTCGGCGGGGCCCTCTTGGGGCCCTCTTGGGGCCTTTCAGGTGGCCTCTTGGGCTGTCTTTGGGCCCTCCCGTCTGGGGGCCTTCTTGGGGGCCTCTTGGGCCATCTTGGGGCTATCTTGGAGGCCTCTGGGGCCGTCACTCCGTCGTCGCATGCTGGAAACCCGAAATAGGGACACATACAACTTGATCCTCTTGGATCTTGGATCCCTCTTGGGGCGTAATGGGGGCCTCTTGCCGTCTGGAGGACATCTTAGGCCGTCTTGAACTTGGGGCCGACTTGGAGGCCATCTTGGCTGTCATTGAGGCGTTTTTTTACCATCTTGGAGGCCATCCAGGGCATCTTCGAGGCATCGTGGAACGATCATGTGCGGACATATTCTTGCCTCCCGCCTTACCCGTGTGGCCAGCGGGTCAAGGCGAATGCCACTGAGCACCATTAGAAACGTTCAAATCAGTAAAGCTTAGCACGCCGTGCACCCTTGTGAAGAATGCGGGTGGTGGTGGATCTAGTGGCCTTCGGCCCATCCCGCCCCCACGCCTGGGTCGTAGGTCAGATGCCTTTGGGATGCCAGTGGGGATCTCTTGGGGGGCTCTTCAGGCTCTTGGAGGTGGTTTTGGCGTGTCTTAGCGGCCTCTCGGGGCCTGATTTGGGCCTCTTGGGTGTCTCCTCGAGCTTCTGGGGGCCTCTTGGGGACTTGCTGGCAGTCTCGGGGGTCATCTCGGGGCGGAGGGCTCGATTTGTCGGTTCGTGCTTCCCATCTTGGGCCCCTTTTGGGCCCTTCTGGAAGTCCTCTTGGGTCGTCTAGGGAGCCTCTTGGGCCTTCTTTGGGCTCTCTTGATTTGGAGCCTTCTTTGATGCCTCTTGTGCCGTCTTGGGGCGATGTTGGAAGCGGCAAGGCCGATTTGGGATCATTCAAGAACCCAGAAAGTCGTTGGTTACTGCCTCTTGGGGTCTTCTTGAAAGGCACCTTGGAGCCATCTTGCACCATCTTGCAGCACCTTGGAGCCATCCTGGAGCGCTCTGGGGCGACTCGGTACAGTCTTGGATCGTCTTGGGGTCCTCTTGGCTTGTTTTGGGGCCCACTTGTCCCCAGTAAAATCTAGCGAGAACACGCGGGGACCTGCGACGCACCGCAAGAAATCCGGCAATTTGGGGTTCAGGCCTTTGAACATTCTGATGCTTCGCGTAACCCCACCAGTGTGGCCCAGTCGTTCATCCCGCTCCCTGGATCTGTCCTTCGAGCCGTCCAACCAAAAAGTATCCCCACCAGCGCCCCCCTGGCAAGCACACGTCGTTGGGACGGTTGGAGCCTGGCGCCCCACTGGCGACTCGCTCCTCGGGTCTCGCGCCTGCCCCCATTCAGAATGACGGACACGGTTGCTCAGGTACTCGTCATGCCTCTGTGTGGGTCGTGCCTCACGGCAGGCATCGAATTCCTCGACATTTTGTCCTGCACGTGCCCGAGCTTCCCAGGATGCCCCCCGCCGTCAGCTCCCCCACAGCCTCGCGGCTGCTTTGTGAGTGGGCCGGCTGGCTAGCGGCGCCTCTTGTAGCTAATTAGGCTTGCCCGTTGGCCCGGACATCCTGCTCGCCGCCTGCCTCTTCGCTGGCGGCCGCGACCGAAAAAGTAACCCCACCAGCCCTTCCAGAAACGATGCCCAGGCGAGTTGCCCTGATCAGGCATGTGGAGGAGAATGCCGTGGTAAAGATGGCTGGGGAAGCCGTCATACCCCAAGAAGAGGGGATAGAGGAGGAATTGGAAGAGGGGGAGGATGAGGGGGAAAAAGGGGAGGGAGGAAAAGAACAAGCGGATGAGGAAGAGGAGGATGATGAGGAGGAGGGATTCCAGATTGGCCAGAGGCCTCTTTGATGCCTCCCGGAGATTATTCGGATGTCCCTTGAGAGCTTCTTGGAATCCTCTTGGGGTGTCTTGGGGGCCTCTTGGCGGTCCCAGGAGCCTCCTGGAGCTTCTTGGGTCTCTCGGGGGAGCCTCTTGGGGCCTCTTTGGGGGTCTCTTGGGACTCTCTTGGGGGCCTCTTGGGGGCCTCTTGGGGCCTTCTGAGCGCCTCTTGTGGCCTTCTTGGGGCACTCTCGGGAGCTTTGGGGGCCATCTTGAGGCCATCTCGGAGGCGATCGATCAAATAAGGACGGGTACTAAATTTGAGCCCCCCCAGCAGGCCCAAATGGGCCCATCAAAAATCAATGGTTCTGGTTGCTTTTTCGTCGAGGTCATCTCGGACGCTCCAACGCCTCGCGGAACCTCCCGTCCAGGTCCAGGGGTAGGGGGTAGGGGAATGGATCAAGACGCCCTCCCCGCCCGCAAGCCGTCTCGCTCACTTCCACCCGCCCTCCCAACACATACGTAGCACCCGAGCCTGGCCCGAGCCTCAGCATATTCAGCACTCGTCTTGGGATGGACAGCTACTGGGGGTATCCGCCGCCGCCGCCGTCTCCGCCGCCGCCGCCGCCTCCGCCGCTGCCGCCGCCGCGCCGCCGCCGCCGCCGCTGTCCGCCGCCGCCGCCGCCGCCGCACCGCCCCGCCCGCCGCCGCCGCCGCCGCCGCCGCCGCCGCCGCCCGCCGCCGCCCCCGCTGCTGAATCGCCGCCGCCGCCGCAGCCGGCGAGCCGCCGCCGCCGCCGCCGCCCCCGCTGCCGAATCCCGCCGCCGCAGCCGCTGCCGCGCAGCCGCTGCCGCCGCCGCGCCGCCGCCGCGCCACCGCCGCCGCCGCCGCCGCCGCTGCCGCCGCCGCCGCCGCCGTCGCCACCGCCGCCGCCACCGCCGCAGCCGCCGCAGCCGCTACCCCCGCCGCAGCCGCCGCAGCCGCCGCCGCCGCCGCCGCCAACTGTATTCTGTATTGTTTTTTGACAGGGATGTTGGGGGGAGGCCGCATCGGGTTCGCTGCGCATGCTCCGAATTTGGAGGCATTTTTTCAATACTTATATTTAAGAACTATTTTAAAACAATCAAGGGACGGCGGGGGGGCCCTCATTGTCCCTGGTTGGCTCCCGGTCGCCTGGGGGAGGGGGTGTATGTTTATAGGGAACAGTGATACACCCCTCCCCCACGGGGAAGAAGGGGGGTTGGAAGAGGAAATTCTCTCAACCACTCACGCCCTAAAGGTGGGATTCAATCCTCAGGACTGAAGGCGATCCATCTTGTGTTTCGCGGCACGGTGGCGGATAATTTGAGATGGGGCAAGGGCCTTCTTAGGACGAATCGGCTACCTCTTAGAGACTTCCTAGAAGGCAGGAGAGCATTAGAAGGTCCACCCCCCTCGCCCTGTTCCCCTCCCCAGACCTCATGCGGATCGTTTTTGTTTTCAATCCGCGGGCCTGAGAGGCCCGATCCCACCCCCGGGCTCGGCCTTTCGCCCGTGACCGTTTTTTTGACCTTCGCAGGGCTCACGGATGCCGACGGCGACCCCAGCGCAGGCGTTCAAGGTTGACCGCCGCCAGTTGCCAGGAATCGGCCGACAACGAACGAACCGTTCTTTCGGAGAGCCGCTATCGTTCAAGCTAGCTTACGATCCTCGTGGTGTCAGAAATCAGCGCGCAAGTCGTCACAACACGAACTTGCCAGGTAGTTTTCCGCCAGTGGTCTTGGCATGCGCGCCGCCAAAGGTGGCCGAGACGCAGCCGTCCCTCTTGTCCGAGGGCCGGCAGCTGTCCGGGACGTCCGAAGGCAGGCGGAGCATCAGCGTCTGGGAGGACGACAACTGGCTCTGAGAGCCGGGATCGAGCCAGCTCGCGGGATGGGCGGGAGGAAGTCGAAGAAGTAACAATTGCATAAGCATGATGTTTCGGAGGCCCACGCGGAATTCATGGATCGACACTGGACCTCCTTTTCCTGGCGCGCGGAGCCCGCCAGGGGCGGCGCTAGAGGGGTCGCCAGGGGGGGAGCCAGCGCCGATCCAAGGATTCCGCGCGGACCTCTGACATCTTATATGAATGTTTTTTTCTTATTCTTATTCTTCTAGGGAGGAATATCGGGAGGAGGGGTGGGGGGGCAGGCAGGCGCACGCAGGAAGAAGGGATCGTTCAGGAGCGTTCTGGAACGCTCTCAGAACCTCCAGGAATCAGTCGGAGCGGCCGCAGCGCGCGATACATCCTCCAGGTCCGTAGGCGGCCAGCTCGGGGATCGATCTTTCCCTCCGTTTTGTAGCCTCGTGGACATGGCTGGATTTTTCTCTATAGCCTGGCTCGACCGCAACCCTCGGCACATCCTGGGGCCGATATGTGCAGAACCCCTCAGAGCACCGTTCCTCAGACCCCCCTTGGAGAGGAGGAGGTTCTAGGGCCGAGGAGGTTTCCAAGAGACCGCAGCTTGTTTCTGCTTTTCCAAACTTTGGATTCTGGAGGCCCCTCACTGGGTCCCAGGGCCGTCAAACATCAGCTCTGTATGGGATGGGGTGGTCAAAACCTCTGGGGCTGCACGTCGTGACAAAGCACGCAGCGTCGTGGGTCTGCTGAGGGAGGGGTCAGGCAGACCCGGGAAGAGGACAGCCTGCTCCAGGGCGTTCTCTCGACCACCTTCAGCTTTCAGAGCCTTCTGGAGCGATCTGGAACGCCCTCCGCGCCCGATGCAGATCCGCCAGCTCTTTAGACATTTCCAGTGTGCCTCGTCCCGAACGCCTTTTCCTCTTGCCGTCGTCCTCACGGAGGGAAGATTCGAGAACGATGAGGCGGAGGAGGACGATAAGGAGGAGGAGAAGGAGGAGGGAATGAGGGATCACGGAGCAAGAGGCGGAGGAGGCAGAGGAGGCAGAGGAGGCAGAGGAGGAGAAGGAGAAGGAGGAGGAGGAGGAGGAGGAGGAAGAGGAGGAGGAGGAGGAGGAGGAGGAGGAGGAGGAGGAGGAGGAGGAGGAGGAGGAATAACACCTCTGGATCCTTCCCTGACTTCCCTATTTCTCCACCCCCCCTCTACCCGTCCTGCTCGGCTCACATGCGAGGCCTTTTGTTTCGACATGTTTGCCCGGCTACTGATCGAGGATCCCCCATTGAGGGTCGAGGAGCGAATCCCTCATCGAGGATCCCTCCGAGAATGGCCACCCCCATCTAAGATGCATGATTACCTAACAGCGAAGACTGATAGGCTTCTAGTGGGCTCAGAAGAGAGCATCTTGACTCCCGAGGGGGTTCTGGGCGGATGCCGGGGAGAATCCGGGGACTCCCCGGGACTCCCCAGGGGGGTCTGGGCGGGTGCCGGGGAGGATCCGGGGACTCCCCAGAACACCATTCCCAGGCCACATTTTGAATGCCCGGAGCCAACTGTAGGCCACTTCGTGTTCTTCGTGTTCCCAGAACACCATTCCCATGCCACATTTTGAATGCCCGGAGCCAACTGTAGGCCACTTCGTGTTCTTCGTATTCCCAGAACACCAGTCCCAGGCCACATTTTGAATGCCCGGAGCCAACTGTAGGCCACTTCGTGTTCTTCGTGTTCCCAGAACACCAGTCTTGTACCATATTTTGATAGCCCGGAGTCAACTGTGGGCCACTTCGTGATCTTCGTGTTCCCAGAACACCAGTCCTGTGCCATATTTTGAATGCCCGAGCTGAGGCAGGCTGAGGCCGAGGCAGGCTGAGGCCGAGGCAGGCTGAGGCTGAGGCTGAGGCTCGCCGAGGCAGGCTGAGGCTGAGGCTGAGGCAGGCTGAGGCTGAGGAAGCTTTTAAGGCGCATGTGTGCGGCATCGATGCGATAGCCCCATTTTGAAATCGACCCCTCCATCCTTGGAGCTGCTGCAAGTTTTAAAGATGAATATGCGCTGTTGCAAATATCAAGCTTCAGGGTCAGAAGCGGTGAGGATGTATCATTCGAAACGCCCGGTCCACCCTAGCGACGCGTTAGGGGGTGCGGCAGGGAGGAGTTATCGATACGCAACGGCTGGAGGAGGACGAGGAGTAAGAGGAAGAGGAGGAAGAGGAGGTCCAGGAGAAGGAGGGAAGAGGAGGGTGGGGGCGAATTGGAGGAATTGGTGGATGAGGGAGGAGGAGGAGGGAGGGTGAGTGACGACGGTCGCGAAGCGAGTTCGGGTGAAATTGCCAAGCCCGACGAGCTAACTCAGTGCGGCTGAGGACCTTCGGTCACCGCCCTGCGAGAATATTAGCGAGATGCTCAGCTCGATTTGGGTTCGTGGCCTCGTGGCGTTCGCGCCCAAGGCCTCGCAAACTCTGATTATTTGGCTTACGCCGCACCGCCGACCCTTTGGGGGAGAGTCGCTGTTGCGGCTTTTGGGTGCTGCGTGACTTATGCTTGTATTTACATCGAAGACGCCTACGGCGAATCACCGCCGCCCCCTGCCTTTGTGGAAGCGCCTATGTGGCCGAACGTTGAGGCCAGACCTGCCAAGCTATCGGACCATGTGTTCCCCAAATCGGTTTGGAAAGCCTTCGGGGAACACGTGGGCATCTTGAAGGTCATCTTGGCCGTCTGGAAGGCCATTTTGACCCTTTCTGGCCTTCTTGGAGGACTTCTTGGAGGGCTCTTGGACCGTCTTGGAGGCCATCTTGAGCGTCTTGGACCCGAGCGAAACGGCCGTTTCAGGCATTGACCGCCGCAGTTTCCGGGTGGCCGGCGGGACGCGCCGGAGCCCCAGGGGGAGTTTTTTTGGAAAAGGAACCAAAACCAAAACCGAGAGGATTCAGCACGCCAGGCACCCCTGCGATGAATCCACAGGTGGCGGCGGATCTAGTGGTTTTCGGTTCATCCCGCCACAGTGCCTGGGCTGTGATTCAGAGGCCTCTTTGATGTTCGTTGGGATCTCGTGAGAAGCCTCTCGGGGGCCTGCCCGAGGCAGTTTGGAGGCATCTGGGGAGGGCTGTTTTGGGGCCTCTCTTGGGCCTCTTTGGGGCTTCTTGGGGGCCTCTTGGGGCCCCTTGGGGGCCTCTTGGGGCCTCCCAGGGGCCTCTCGGGGCGGAAAGCTAGAATTTTCGGTTCATGGTCCCCTTCGTGGGCTCCTCTTGGGGCCCTCTTGGGGGCCTTGTGGGCTGTCTTGAGGCCCACTTGGGCTGCCTTGGGGCCCCCTTGGGCCGTCGTGTGGCCTTCTTGGGGGCCTCTTGGGCCGTCTTGGGGCGGTCTTGGGGGCCTCTGGGGCCGTCTTCGAGCGTCCGAAGCTCGAAAAGGCGAGAAAGCCAAAAACCTTCAACCACACCAATGAAAATCAACAGTTTTGGCCTCTTGGAGCCCCCTTGGGGGGCCTCTTCGAAGCCTCTTGGGCTGTCTTGGAGGTATCTTGGGCTGTGTGGAGGCCATCTTGGGCGTCTTGGGACGATGTTCCGGCGACTCGGGGCCCTCTTGGACTGTCTTGGAGATCTCTTGGGGCCCTCGTGGCCCGTTTTGAGGCCCTCGATGCCCCCCCCCGCAGGCCGGCCCAGATAGACCCCCTCCAAATCGACCAGGACGGGCTTCTGGGGGAGGGGTTTTGGGAGGGGGAAGCATCTCGCACGCCGATGAACCCCAAGGGTTCGGCGGACTAGCATAATGTCCACACTGAACAAACCACAGTTCAGGCCCTTTGTGTAGACGCATCCGAGGACTACTATGCACCATACCCCCCGCGATATGCAGTTTCACCCCTTCAGGCAGACCGAACATGACCCAATCAATGTTAGTGGATTCGAAACGCGGGCTAGCTCTCCATGCCTTCAAGGTGGTATGAGGGGCGGAACTGAAGCACTTTAGGACGTGAACGCTAGCACAGCCGAGGGAGCAGGAGGGGGAGTGGGCCGCTCAGATTTCTTCCTGTGGATCCTGCCTTCAAGCTCCTTCTCTTTTTCTTCCACTGTGTCAATCGTGGCGCGGAGCAACCTCACGCGCACGAGGAACGCTTTGCGTTCGACTTGATGACACCTGTACCTCTCAAGCTCGGGGACGCATGCACGGTAGGCGGCAGTCCTGGCTAGAGTATCCGCTGCAGATTTGCTTTGCACGAGCCATGGCGGGATTGTGCTTCTGACTGGCTTTGCTGTTCCCCGGTGTGAGCTGGTAAGCGACACAGCGACCGAGAAAACATCTCGATCTCGGAACAGCTTGCGGATTTCCCGCCAGAGGTGAGCGTCGGGCCCCGACGGTGATTGGAATCGGCGCTCCGCCCACCCGTCGGCCACCCCGCTGTTGTCCGCTACGTATATCATGCTGCCTCCAGTCAACTGCCATGTCAGCAGAAGTGACCGAAGTTCTCCCCGTGGTACTGTCTGCCTGGGGCCTACCGGTGGGCCCGAGACGGTGGATCGCAGCTGCTGAGCTTCCAGTGGCCAAGCTCGCGTAACGCTAGCTCGAATCTCAGGTTCCGTCTGCCATAGCTGAAGCCAAGAACGCATGCATTCTGCTGGCATCCTCAGTGCGGGATCCTGCGGTGCCTTCAATGCGAGGAGCGTGGTCAAGCAGCGCTCGAGAGACATGGCGCAGCAGGCCGCGCCGAGCCTTCGCCTGTAGGTCGAGAAGTACGTGCCGAAGACCCCGTGGATTTGCTAGGCGTAGGACCCTGCGGCCTGAGCGCCTAGGTGCTCCAGCTTCGACGTGGTGCTGTGCCGACGCCCAGCTGCAGCAAACTTGTGATCCTGCCGATGAATCGTTTCATACTTCTGGAACCTATTCCTGCGCGTGACGCGCACATGACGTCTGCCATTGCCGAGGTCCGTGTCCAAGTAGTTTGCCGTCTTCTGCGCCTTCACCTGGCACCCACCCATCCGCAGAGCTCGAGCGGCCCGAACTGCATCAGGGTCATATGTGCAAATGATGACGCTCTTGTTGGTCACCCGCAGCTTCATTCCCGCCAGGCCCTTGCATTTAGCCTTGAGGCTGGTGATCAGTTGCTGTCGAACGCTGTGTCGAGAGCCGACTGCCCGCTGCGCCAGGTCGTCGGCGCAGATGCGGTGACTCATGTTCGGGTGCGCCCTGGAAATTCTATCTAGAATATAATGCGTCATGCTGCGGCCAAACCTCGTTCCCGACCTGGCTCCCTGAACGATCGATTGGGTGGGCCCAACCGGGGGCGCCCAGGACTCGGACTGTCCCAGGAGCCGTGGCGCCGCGCACTGCGCCACCCCGAGGCACAAACTGGCGGTTGGAAACCTTGACTTGAGGCTTGCTGGAATGAGAAGTTCCCGTCGGATATTGTCGTAGAAGCCGCCTATGCCTAGGAACCCCATCTCTGCTGGAACATGCAGCCGAGACGCGACCTCCTCTTGCAAGGTCCTAAGGAAGGCCTCGCGGAGCGCAGCGGCGCCGCGCGCCGCGGCGTCCCCAAAGGACCCGAGGACTCTGCCCACTCCTGGAGGACTGGCTCCCGTACAAAAGACCACAGCCGACTGAACATCGACAGGAGGCCAGCGATGCGGTCGCCTTCCGTCTTCTTTGAGAGAAGGCATGCGAGTGCAGCCATCACCTGATGCGGCCAGGTGGTCTCGGCTTCGATGATCGTGTAGACCTGCTCCAACTCATCACTCACCCAGCGCGGACAAGGGGAGTCGTTCAAAGTCGACGGGCGTCCTTCGATCGATTACATTCGTGCACCTGGTCGCATTCGTCTGGCAGCTTTGCAGATATCTTCCCCTGTGATGTCAGGCAACGGGTCCGCATCGACACGCCCCCGAGCCATGCGAAACGCGTTCTGAACTGCGCCGACTGCTTCTCGCGCATGAGCCCAAGGTGACCCCCACTGGGTAGCTTTGTGGTCGACCAGGTCGCGGGGGTGGAAACGGATGGCGCCTTCCACCTCCATCTCCTGTCTGACCGTAGGCTCCTGACGCAACCATTTGTGCAGAGTTCCCAATGCAACTGGTGTCCCCATCCAGGCGCCCAAATCCTTCGTGGCTTCACGACTCGCTCTCTGCTGGCACCTCACTGCTATGCGTGCAGCTGCTTGCGCGCAAACTGAAGGCGTATCTGCAAATTTGTCAGCGGAACAGCTCTGTTGGCCCCAGTTGTCCTGGGCTGCCTACGAGGAACATGTTCCACAGCTGCCCGCTGGACCTGCTGCAGATCCGTGAACGTAGCTTGCCATCTGCGCCAAAGCGGATCCCTGGCTGACTTCAAAACTGCATGGACCTGCTCAGGTCGTTCATTGAAATGATTGTCCAAAACCTCCAGCAGCTGGAACCGTTCTTCGTGGCCTGGCCCTCGTTCGATGTGCCGAAAAAGACCAGGCAACACCGTGGATTACATGCGCCACCAGATGGCGATCACGTCTCTCTCTGGAGTGATGCGCTGGCGTTCCTGCTGATGAGCAACTCCTTCGCGTAACGTAGCACTCTGCGCGCGGGGCGGTCCAACCGCTGGCGCTGAGCTGTGATGCTGATGGATGACCTCCTCCTCTGAGGTGACCCACGAAGCGTATGTGGACGATGTCGCAAGTGCAGTGGTTGTGCTGTTGAGCGAAAAGGCTACGGAACGAAGAAACGAGGGCGATGATGGGCACTTCTCCGCGGGAATGGACCCTGCACGCCTACGACGTTCGTGCCACAGCTCATCTGACACCTGGAACTCAGGTGAGGGAGGAAGAGGAGAGGGAGGGAGGACCGAGGCCGAGGGAGGGGGAGGACTGGGGATGGGTTCCCCACAGTTTGAGCGCTTGGGGGTGTGGGGGTGGTGCAATTCATCGGGCGCGAGGGGGCTACGTGAAATGGGAGTCGTCACAGCTGGACTCGCCTCGCACGGAAACGTGCACGCGCCGCCAGAGCGCGCCTCGCAACCCCGAGCGGGACTCCGCTCGACCTCTAGGCGAGGGTGAAAAGAAGTTTCATCGGCCCAAGGGGGCTCGAAAGTTAAGTCTGGGTCACACCTACAGGAAGCGGCGGCCTCAGGATCACACTCAGCCTGGGAACTGCTTTCTGGGTAGGGGTCAGGCTCTGTCTTGCCAGGCCCGTGGTTGAATGAGATCTCCGAAGAACAGATCGTATTGCGAAGGCCTTACGGCCGGTGCCGCCGACCCTGAAGACGAAGCTGTCTGTGACGCCGTGAAGGCCGAAACGTCGTATATGCTAGAAATGTAAGTTTCCGATGGAAAAGTAATGAGTGTGGCCTCTTGGGCCCTTCTTGGGGGTGCTCATGGAGGGGGCCTGGGACGTCTTGGAGGCTTCTTGGACGGTCTTGGGGCTATCTTGGGCGTCTTCGGCCGATCTTTGGGCGACTCGGGGCACTCTTGGGCCGTCTCGGGGGCCATCTTGGGCATTCGGACCTCATTTGGAGTGTTTTCGAGGTTTCGAGGCCGCCCGAGGAAAAACGAATCTGCCCCCCCCCCCCCCCCCACCCCCCCCTGGGACCCCTCCCCCCCCCCCCTGGGGAAGGGATCAAAGGGAAGGGGCTTCCCTTCGAATCGACAACGGCATGACGGCAGGAGGGTACGGCCCAAAAAGAAAAAAGGGGGAAGGAAGAACAGATCGTGTTTCTTTTTTCTCGACTCTGCCCGTCGCTGCCTCGCGGGTCCCAGCCGACTTGGAGCCAGCTGTCGGAGCGTTGCGTGGTCCAGCGACCTGTGGCAGCCACCGAGGTGCATCGAGTAAGCGAGCCACCAACTGCTCTGCGCTCTTCCTCAGTCTGATGACCAGGCCGATGCGTGGCCTCCACGGTGCACGGACCACCGGTGCAATACCCAAGATACAGGACGTGGCTGTCTCCGAGCAGATCATGCAGTCAACGTGCGTGCCCTCTGTAACCTCAACGCTGGCCGTCTTGATAACTGGCGACCCAACAACTTTTGCAAGGAACCTCGAACGCTTCATCGCCTCCACCGACGCATTGACATCTCCGAGCCCAAACCAAGACAGCCGCATGGTATTCAGCAGCGCTCCAAATCGCTGGAAGCGTCCGAGGTTGGGCCCATCGAAGCCGGGTCTGAAGCCGTAGGACGGGTGAGCGTAGACAGCCATGGCCACGATGGAGTAGCCCTTGAGATGCAAACTGGTCTCGATGAACCCGTCGTGCTGCTGGTGCCCTGGAGCTGCCAATGGCCGTGCAGCTGACGGACGAACTCAAACCAGCAACTGTGTCTGTAAATGACCGCGAGACAATATCCACTCTCCTCCGTCCTTGGCCCGAGCCTGCTGAGACTGGGCCACGCGCTTATCCCGCGCGCGAGCTGGATTAGGCAGCAATCGCAGCTTAGCTTGTCGAGACTTCTTATCCCACTTGCGAAGGTCGGAGCCGTTGACCGGCGTCCCGACAACCCCATGAATCTATAAGATGATTTGGCCAGGGAATCCCAAGGCCTGTCTCCATCCAGTACACGTGGTATTGGTGTAAAGAAGTGTCGAGAAAGCCTCCGTGCTGGCCTCCTCTGACCCCTGGGACAGCTGCGGGCTTTCCTCCACCATGCCGTCCACGGGCGAGGTGAGCTTGCTGCCATTCCTTGTGGAACCTAGCCATTTGGACTTGGGCGGCTGCGAGCCTCCCTCGTCCGTCTGGCCCTTGCCCCGCTTCGACGTGGGGGGGCGCCTTTGCCCTTTCCGATGCGCTTCGTGGCATTCTCCCTGTGCTCCTGGGTCAGCTTCTCCTGAGCCGCGCGCTTGGCCTCGGAGAGCTTCTCCGCTGCCGCGCCCAGCTCCTCGTCGTCTTCCGAGCCCGCGGGTGTGGCCTGCTTCTTGGTCCTATCGGCCTGTGCCAAGACCAAGGCAGCAGTCCGTTCCTTCTCTCGCGCCCCTCCCAAGGCACTCTGCAACCTCACTGCGTTGGCCATCGTGCTTGTGGTCCGCGTACTTCCACGTGCCTACGGCCCGCTTGACCGTCTCGGCCGCGTGGTGGACGTTGCCTGGAGACGCCGCCTTGATGGCTCGAGCTGAGCTACCTTGGACTGCAACACCGTCTTCAGGTCCTGGTCATCGGTATTCTGAATGGCTGACCGCAGGAGCGAAGAGGCACTCTGTGATGCTGTCTCCGCTGCCTCTCCGTTCGCGCCTTTGCCCCCCGCCAGCTTGTCCAAGCCCTTGCCAGTTTTGCCGTTGCGTTGGGTGTCTTTGCGGGACTTGTGCAACTTGATTTGCCTCTTGCAATTCGCGCATTCCCTGTTGCTGGCCATGCACGTCCACGCGTGCAGCGAGACCAGATATGACCATTGCTCGCCGTGGTATGGAATCTCTTGTTTTGGTTGTCACCGGGAACGATTCACTGGGATGCTCTGGGTGAAATGCCCCAAGCACCTCGCGCAGGCACAAGAAACGAGCTCGCCCAAATGGTCCTGAGCCCAGATTGCTTGAGAGGGCGGAGGAGGATGAGGGAGGGAGGGGGGAGCAGGGAAAAGGCAGGTGGAGGGGAGGACGAAGGAACGAGGGAGGCAGGGAGGAACAGATGAGATAGAAGGAGGACGAGGAGATGGGAGGGGGGGGGAGGGAGGCAGGGAGGAGCATAGCTGTCACCCTGGTACTGGCGTCTTAGCTGCACCCGATGCTCTTCTTCCGTCCTGGCCCTGTGCCAGGCCATGCACGACGAAACAAGCCTCCTCTGGCGATCCGGCGCGCCCGTCGCTCGCCGTGACTCTCCTGCAACGACTGGGGACGGAACTGCGAAGCAAAGGCTCCCCTCGTATCCCTCCCGTCCTGCTCCCCGCCTCTCCTCTCCTCCTCTCCTCTCCTCCCCTCTTCTCCTCCCTCGCCGACTTCCGTTGTCGGTCATCCCACAGTTCCCCTAGTTCCCTCTTCTCCTCTCCTCCTCTCCTCCCCTCTACTCCTGCCCTCGTGTCACCTCCTCTTCTCTCCCCTACCCTTCGGCGCTTCTCTCCTCTCCTCTCCTCCTCCCTCTTAGTCTCGGCTCGAGAGCTTCGCTCGGAGCGAGCCCAAATGACAAGCACCCCGCATTCATTCTTGCTTCGCGGGACCAGACACGGCCCATTCCAGGCCGTGACAGATTGGCGTCACCTGCACGTTCAGTCCACGCCCACGCGCGCCATGGATCGGAAAGGTCCCCGCCGTGCGCGTCCCAATCCTCCGCAGCCCAAGCCACTAAGCAAGGGCCGTCAACAGGCAACTTTACCAGTTTGCAACCTGTCCCGAAAGGAATCCTGCGTCGCCTCACTCCAGAGCAGTTGTGGCGTCGACCGAGCAGTCGCTGCATACAACGAGCTGGCGCACAAGCATACCACCGAGTCTGACATCGTATGCCAACAACTCCGCTCCAACCAGCACAAGCTGAGGGGTGAGCAGATGAAGCAGTGTGGGAAATCAAAGGTCAGCGACGCAATGCTGCTCCACTCCCTGACGCGCAAGATGGGCTCCAGCCGTGACTCACCAGGGTCTACGGCCTCGGTCGATGCCTACCAAGGCACCGACATCATTTCATTCATCAGCCTCGATGCACATGTTCAGGATGTGCCCACCGCTATTGCGCCCACCAGGGTGGTAGACGGCACATCAGACACCAACACCATGTCAGCACGCACGCTAAAGGTGGGAAGCCGCCTCCTGCAGAAATGCGTTTGCAGGGCAACCCCCTTGCCACAACCGTCCTGGGACAACCACCGTGTGTTTCAAGGTTCAACCAGTCGAAAGCCACCTGGAGGAACAATGGGGTCAACGACGGACGAATGTCACCGATCGCAGGAGCCTTCAACCGTCGCGCCGACCTGTTGGCTACAGCCGCAGGGACGTCGTCGACGCGGCCAAGTGGAGACATGCATTCGCACGGCTGTCCTTCGCAGCATTGCAGTCGCGACATGCGAGCGCCGCCACCGCGCTCTTCCGCTCCCAGCCAGGCAAGCGGGATACTCCAGATCGGAATTCCATTGGATGAAACCCAGCCCGCTCGCCGCGAGGAGCGGCGGGGACGAGCCCCCTTGCCCTGCCAGTGACCCGCCCCACTCCCACGGCCCACCAGGGCCAGGGTACTACGATGAACTCGATGATCCGTGGGACATCCCTAAGGTGACGAGGGGGGGCCATTCGGCCTGGTGGCGGCCGCGAAAACGACGACGGCGACGACGATGACGACCTCCCCCGCGCGCCAGGTGGCCCCGACATCGACGGCCACGACGCGGACGACGACAGGCCATTTCCACGTCCACGCAGGCACACGACGGCAAAAACCCAAGATGTGGAGGTCAACCGCGAACCCGCCGCAGGCACTCCACTGCGACACCTTGCCCCCCCTGCCGACACAGACAGCCACGCCCCACGGCACATCTGCGCCAACAGCACCACGCGCCCGGGAGAGGATTTGCGCGTGGTAGGCGAAGGGTCGTGGACTGCGCTTTGATGGCCAGCGCCGTCGCCTCAGCTAGTGCCGCTGCGCACCTCCAGGCAATCCCCCGCTTCGTCAGGGATCGGGATACTGAAAGGCCCTTGTACCACCCGCCTGGATGTTGGCGCCCGATCGGCCCCAGTGCAGCGTACTGGCCAAGGGGGCGCCCTCACGCAGCGCCTCGCTTCGGCCAGGCCACAGCCCCCACGCGATCGTGAAACCGCTCTCACCGCAAGTATGACGGCGCTTCAGCAGCCTGCCCTCGGCCTTGCACCCGCGCTGGGCAGCGTCCAGGAACAGCCCGGGCCCGCTCTCGACAGGGCACGGTCCGCTTGGAACGAGTTCAGCAGGCCTTCCGCACGCCTGCCCTCCCTGGGGCCACTCTCCAGGAGCGTCTCCAGGAGCGAGTTGCGGCTCACTGCTAGCGCACCAGGGCTAGCTGCCTCCTTCCTTCCACCTTTCCGTGCTCTGCGAGACCTGGCATCAAGCTCCGTCGACCCGGCACTGGGCCGCCGATGTGGATGCTCCAAGGCGGCGCGTTCATGTCACAGGGCTCCGAACCGTACGTGCCAAAGCGCGCTTTAAAGCCGGTGCCGCTTGTCAGTTTCGGGTGTGCTGACGGGGTGTGCCACACCCTGATCGCCACAACCCGCCAATGTTTCCAGTCGGGGTCCCTTTTTCGACCGCGCCAGGGGGAAGGCTTTCGCCACCCCTGCCATGTACAAGCGGCCCCCTTCTGCCACAAGCGGTGGGTGTAGCGGGCGCTAGTGCGCCGCGCGCCCCGACGGACACCCCGCCCGAACAGTTGCGCTCTCCTCGTATCTTTTTTATTTCGTCTCATCCGTTCATTTCGCCCTTCTCCATGGCTCTCCTTCTCTCCTCCTCTCCTTCCCTCGTCTTCTCTCTTCTCATCTACTATCCTCTCCTTTCCTCTCCTTCACTCCCCTTTTCTCTCTCCCCCTGGTGCTTTTCTCATCTCGAAGAGCAGCACCAACAACTGCATTGAAGGTGCATCCTTCGGAAGTCTGCGCGGATTTCTTGGTATGGGTAGTGGACCGTCCCTGGCGCCTCCCCTAGCGCGCCCCGCGTGCTCGGGAAGGCGGGGTCGAGGGCCGCCACGACAGCCGCGCGGACCTTCACAGTGCATTCTAAACCCCCTTGTGTTGATGGGTCCTTCATGACGTGACCTTCGGGTATATCCCTGACTCCGCCTGTATCCTTCGTGCGCTGAGGCCACGTCCTTCCCTCGCGACGCGCCGCCCGCCCGCGTTGGCACTCCTCTTCCCCGGCACTCTGCGGTTGTTTCCTCCCGCCCGTCAGCCTCGCTTCCTGCGTGGGCCTGCCAGTGTGAATCCTCGGCTCCGCGCGCCCCCGCTCCTCGTTTGCCCTCGCTCCTTGGCCTTCCCCTCCGCTTCCTCCTCCTCTCCCCGCCCCCGCAGGGTGCCCCTCCCCCATGTGGAGCTCCGCCTGCGGCCCCAGCGGGAGCGCGCGCAGGTGCGGTCACAAGCTCCGCGCGGACTTCCCAGGGCATTCTTTTGCTCCAGCCATCCCGCGCCGAGTTGGGTCTTCGTTCCGAGGCCGCAGCGCCTTGCCCCACCTCCACTGTTCCACTGGGGGTCGGTTTGACGTGTAAGTTCCGGGGGTGAGGGTCCTTCGAACATCGGCCCCGGGGCCTCAAGATCCCAGATCGCGTTGCGACTAGGATCTCGAGGCTAATCCAGCAGTGGCGACGAGGGCCCCCAAGGCGGCCCAACGCAAGGCCAAGACTGAGGCAATTCGTTTCCACCTCCTTCTTGTTGCGACGACGACAGGAGCCTCCAGTGGTCTCTGCTCCAGAGGCCCTAATATTGCCCGAAACGTCCGGAAACCTCGATCCTCAAACCTCGAGCTTCGATCCGCGCATTTCAGCGACGACAGCGACGACGACCCTTCACTTCCCTTCTTAAGATTATTATTTCTCGCTCGATCCCCGAGCCTCGATCCACCCCCCCCTCCTCGATCTGGGTAATTTTCTTTGGCGACGGCGGTATCGATTACGCGGCGTCGTTGTCGCCGTCGCCGCCGCCTTCGTCGTCGTCGTCGTCCTCCTCAGCGTCAGCGTCGCCTTCGTCGTCGTTGGCTGCCGCCGCCGTCGACTTCGTCGCCACAGTTGCGGTCGGCCGTCACCGTCGTCGGCCGTCACCGTCGTCGGCCGTCACCGTCGTCGTCGTCGTCGTCGGCGACGACGCCTACGCCGACGCCCGTCTGCGTGCGTCGTCGTTGCCACCGTCGGCGCGCGTCGTGCCCGTCGTGGGTTGCCGCCACCGCCGTCGTAGTTGGCGGCGGCGGCGGCCAGCGGCGGCGGTGGCACGCAGCGGAGCGCAGCGGCGGTCAGCGGCGTTGGCGGTCAGCGGCGGTTGCGGCCAGAGGCGGCGGCGGCGACCTCGCGCGCGCAGGGCGAATGCGAGGAGGGCCTCATCTGCGAGCGCCCGTCCTCCGCGCCCGGCAGCTGCGTTAAGGCGCGGGCTCTCATCGTCGGCGTCGCCGTCGCTGTCGCCCGTTGCTTGTCGCTCGTCGCTTGTCGGTCGTCGCTTGTCGGTCGTCGCTTGTCGCTCGTCGCTCGTCGCTCGTCGCTTGTCGCTCGTTGTCGTCGTCGTCGTCGTCGTCGTCGTCGTCGTCGTCGTCGTCGTCGTCGTCGTCGTTGCCGCCGTCGCCGCCAGCGGCCCTCGCCGGTGGCCCTCGGCGGCCGTCGGTTGCCCTTTTAGGCTTCCTCGTTGCCACGCCTGGATGACGGTCTTGGCAAGTTGCCCGTTCGCGCGCGGCCCGCTCCCAACGACTGGGCGAGTGAAAAAAGTTTCCGTCGGCGGCGAGGCAGAGTGGCTGCACCAGCGACAGAGCTAAACGGGGGCACCGAGAAGTGAATTGGCCAGCGTGCAGGAGAGGGGGAAAGACAGTTAGGGCGGCCGCGGAAGGGGGAGGAGGAGGGGCCACTCAGAGGCGGAAGACTCCCGACGTGACCGTGCTGGCGCGGGTGGCCCCGTCAGCAGGAATCATGGCAGCAGCTGGGCCGCAGCGCCGGGGCACCCACGGGCGATGACGGGGCCCAGTACGTGAAGGCAAATACCACAGTGACGCCGTTGGTGAAGTAGGACTCGGTACTTGCACGCCACGAAAAGGCGCCGTGAGGCCGCCTTGGTGGATGGCTGGGTTGAGAGGGTACGGCAAGTCCACGAGCAATCTAGGTTTCAGACTGCCACCAGCAAAATGCTGGGCCCGTTAGGTGGGTGCGGGTGGCAAGACCAGGCCCAGGAACGCTGCCACACGGGGGGAGCTGCCAGCTGCGGCAGCAGCGCGAGCA